ATTTGCATTGGCATTTGCATTGGCATTTGCATTGGCATTTGCATTGGTGCAGACATTGGCATTGGCATTGGCATTGGCATTGGTGCAGACATTGGCATTGGCATTTGCATCGGTGCAGGCATTGGCATTGACATTGGCATTGGTGGACATATTGGTGGAGCCATCGGCATTGGCATTGGCATCGGTGCAGGCATTGGCATTGGCATTGGCATTGGCATTGGCATTGGCATTGGCATCGGTGCAGGCATTGGCATTGGTGGACATATTGGTGGAGCCATTGGCATTGGCATTGGCATCGGTGCAGGCATTGGCATTGGCATTGGCATTGGTGGACATATTGGTTGAGCGACACTAGAAAACAAGAAAAACGATAACATTCCTGATAACTAGTTGATTAATATTCGACTAAGACACTTACGGAGCACCGCCTTGAGGAACGAAGATGACACGAACTTTAGGAGGAAGACAAGAACCACCCCTAGGAAGCATAGTTGTTGTTGTTAGATATCCACCAGTAGAATAACCCCCATCTAAATAAGTATTGTGTATCTGTTAGTATGATGCATAAACTATAAAAATAAAAGGCCAAATGCTTACAAGTATGTGGATATGGACCATAAGCACCTCCATAAGTACCAATTCCATAGTATGGATCATATGGTGCACCGTACATACCAAGACCAGGTTGTGCACGACGTCCCGTTCGATTTCCCATTTCTTGTTATATGTTGATATGTAACTAATCTATTACCTAAAGCTAATAGAGAAAACTTCATATGAAGAAATAGAGAATGACAACTACAGCTTTTATCTATCATCAGAAAAATATGAGCTGGAATGTATGTCATCATTTCGCTCTCGTATACATTACCTCCTCTTCTTCAAATGATGACGATGGTTGTCGATCTGAAGTAATCGTTCTAATACAAATGTGTCTGATTTTATAGGTAAGCGATTTTACTTTTGCTTCTGAGTTATCAGCAGAAGGAAAAAAAAGAAAAAAAAATGAGAAGAAGAAATATTTTTCAGTCCAAAAAGAACCTGGCGAGACGTTCGTCCCTAATTTTGAGGACGACTCTCGCACAATACAATTGGTTTATCATATCTGTCGTTGAATCGTCCATGTATCAATCAATGACGCGTAAACGAGAAGGTTGCCGACGATGGCCGCGGCATATTAAAAAAAAAAGAAAAAGATGAAATGTTTTTTCATCGACCACGGCCGTTTTGTCTGTAGAAGAGAGAGTGAGGGACGAAAATGAGTCTATTTACCACACGAATATTCATGGCCAAAAACCCGCGCATAATTTACCTGTGCGTAGCCACTACTGTCAAAAAATGAATGGTTAAAATCAGACCACACACATACATATACACAAAATGCATGCAAGAATAAATATAAATTAATCAAAAGGCAAAAAAGGACCAGTTATCATTTATTCAACATGTACATGTATTTCTTTTTATATGGTAACCTTGTCATTGTTGATGAGTTGAAAAGAGTGCTTCTCTTTATATAAAAGATAGTGAGAAAAAAAGAGACATCAAAGAAGAATTGACTTTTTTTTTTTTTGTAATCAATTTTATTCATCATCATCATCATCATCATCATCATTTTTTGATGGTTTCACTTGGTACCTAACTAAAATAACTATTTATCATGATTTCAAGGCTGTAACAACAGAATAAATTGATCAACAAGCATCACTCAGACTGATATTACACACATAACGATTCAGTAGTCTGCATTTTATAAAAAAGTTGTAATGAGCATGAGAAGGAGAATTACTCTTCATAGATGCTATCATCATAAATGAATGTAATATAATGTTTTTGATGTATTTTTCAAGGAGACAAATCATAATGAATAATAAACAATTTTCTATTTTTTGTTATTTTCATTGTAATAAAATTTTTACTAATATATGCATCAAAAGTTTGTTTTGTGTACAGATGAATTTTATTTTACCACTCAAACATTTGTTTTTTTTTTTTGAATATTTTATATTAAAATAAATTAATTGTCTATTATAGAAAATAAAAAAAAAGACACAACAACAATATTGAAAAATATATATATATATATATCTACAATAAGTTATTAATATATTTTACTCACCGTTTAGTATCATGATTTGAATAAATCTGTCTATTGCCAATGTAGAAAAAAAGTAAACAGATTTTTTTCTAACGCTCTTGTACATAGCTTGTGTTAGATATAAAATGAGATACTATTTCGATTTTCTGTATTATATATATATACCCTATTTATCAATGTTATCGTTTATGACGGGCTTCACCGTGAGCCTATAGGTATTTTTTTTTCGCCTATTGTTTATTTCGTTTTATTTTTTTTTTATTTTTTTCTTTTCATCTGTATCTTAATACTAATCACCAAGCATCAACCTCCTGTTCATTTATATTATCAATATAGCAGTAGTCAAGTATTTTGTGTATTGAAAATGCTTGTCATAAATAATCAAAATTTACATGAAGGTCACTTCATGGTTGATTGCTTCATACCGCAATAGTTATGTGTGTATGTGTCATGTAACTGCTCCTTATCATTGTCATTCATTTTTACCTTGATTGAGCAACTTCTAAATTATGCCAGTCTAGGTCTTTTCTCTCTTCCTCTATAGATATATATACTTTGTTTGATATCAAAAAATGTACTACATCAAACATTCATTCAGTTCACTACAAGATATTAGTAAGTGCATACGAATGTTCACCGTCTTTTTTTTTTCTTTTTGTCTTTTGTAAACTCACATAATGATTTATTATCTATAATACGATTCCTTGTCTTGTATGTCATCAGTTATGACATTGGTTTTTCTTATTGTCAGATATACTAATCAGTCGTTGACAAATCAATTGTCATTATCAATAAACCAAAATCACTTGAAGGTTTGCTTTGATTCGTACGATAAAATCGTTTTCTTTTTTGCACTAAGAAAAACAAATTTTTTTTTTTTTTTTATTCTACTTTTTTCTTCTTATCTGCAATAGAATGGGTAATCACACAAGTCAACGAAAGCAAGACAATAAACATAAAAATAATAATTTAAATCAGTAATTATAATTTTACATTGTATTTAATTACTAGTCTCTTTTTTTTCTTTTGTTCAAATAGATATGGAACAAAATATAGTCATGATGCTTCTGGTCGAAAACCTGCACCTTATTATGGTCCAGCTCCAAGTAAGATAAAATTATATTATATTTTTAATCAATATTTTAAATTAGATTATGTTTATCCAACAACGGAATGGACTTATACATATATTCCAACAGTAGCTGCAGGTCGTGCAAAACGACCTGTCATTTATGTTGCAGCTCCGTTACCTGCTGCAAGTCAATTTGGTGGTTTCGGTGGTATTTGTGGTGGTGGTGGTGGTGGTTTACCTTTTGGAGGTGGTCTTCCATTCGGATTCGGAGGTGGTGCACCTTTCGCAGGTGGTCTCCCATTTAAATCTAATTTTTCACGACGCCGTTAAGAGGGTAAAGTTTTTCGTCGTTGCTTAAACTCAAAAAAAAAAACAAAACAAAAGAAAGTACAGATTTTGTTCCGACCTATAAAACATTGATTGAATTTTGAAGTCTTTTTTTTATATTTGATTTTTTATTGAATTTTATATGTCAACTTTTCTTTTTTTTCTTATTATGAAAAGAATTTTTTCATATATTGTAAAGGAAAAAAAAGGAAAAGAAACGTTTTGTTTTTTATATGCAACTTTTAAAAGTTTATTGATAATTTGCTTTTTGTTTTATTTTAATTCTTTTTTGCGTTATGTTTTGTTTTTCTTTGTCAAATTATTATTTCAACAAAACATACAAAACAAAAAAAAAAACTTATGCTAACAAATATTTGATTTTAACGTTTTTTATGTAAACATGGTGCAAGTTTTATTATTGATTTCGATTTGATTTGTTCAAATGTTTTAACAAAATCAAATGTATAGAAATATTTTGATGATGATGATGATGATGATGATTTATTTTTATCATCTAATGAATTTGTTTTTGAACATTGAAAACCAATTGATTCAATTTTTCGTATAAATTTTTGTGGTTGATTTTCAAAACGTGATGCTATTTCAACTATTTTCATTGTACCACGTAAACGAAGAATACGATGAGCTTCATAAATAAAATCATTTAAATTTGTACCCATCAATGATAAACAAAAAATGACAATATCGACAGAATTTTTATTTAATGGTGTATGTGCTATATCACATACTTGAACATATTCATTTATTGCAACTAAATCAAAACTATAAATATTTGGATGTGTAGATTTAAGTGCACGAGCAAGATGTGCATCACCACAACCCATATCAACAATAACAAGATTTGATGAACGTTTACGTATATAAGCAATTATTTCATCTAATGGTTGATCAGGCCATTGAGACATACTTGTCTAAAAATAAGAAATAAATAAGAGTATTGTCTCTTTTTTTTTCTATTTTTTGAATGAAACTTACAGAATAACCTTGATGATAAGCATAGAAAGATTGAGGATCTTTTTCAAACATTTGTTGAGCTTCTTGACTTGTTGATGTATATAATTTTTCATTGAGATAACGAAAACGTGATGTTATCATATGTGAAACAAGTTTATCACAAATTGATGGTTTAGATTCTTGAGAAGATTTTTTTTTTGGTGGTTCATTTTGTTCATCAGGTTCATGTTTACGTTTATTTGTTTTTATTACATTTGGAATAATATCTTTTAATTCGGGATGATTCATTACATAATATTTATTTCTACGACTTTTTTTTGGTATTATAGATTGTTTTTGTTGTTGAAGTTCTTGATTAATATGTTTTTTTAATGCTAATTTTTTTTTATTAATATTGTTATTATTATCATTGTCATCATCTGAATCATCATTTAATATACGTTCTTCTCGTTTAAGATCGCTTGGATTATTATCATGACGTGGTATACGTTCGAAACTTTTTCTTTTCGATTTCTTTTTATCAAGTAATGATAATTCACTATTAGCAAGAATTTTTTTTACTTGAATATGATTTTTATTTGTACGTTTTTTATGTGGCATCTAAAAAAAATTAAAAAAACAAAAAAAAAATTATATTCTTGATTTAAAAAATTTAATATCGTTATCCAAAGATTACAAGATACGCATATTAATTATAAAATTTAATACTAATATATATAGATAAGATTATCTTTTATTTATCTAGTTAAAATATCTTATAGAAACATATGTGTGAAAAAAAGTGATATTCCGGTCTTTAGACTGATTTATATTTCATTTCTTAAGAAAAAATTCTATTTGATATAGACAATTATAGAAGTAATTGTCCTTAATCAAGTTTTAGAGATCTCGGAATTGGAATTAAGGCAAAAAAGAAATAGTAGAAAATGTTTCTGAGATCGAAACTTTATATATTGACTCTACAAATTTCTTTGTTAAGTGTATTCGTGATGAAATTTTTATATTTCTAAATTATATAGTTCATTTTTGTAAATCTTATATTCAACTGAATTCAAAAGATAACGTCCTTGTATTTCGAATAATACATCAATTTACAATATGTCCTTAGAATGGTAAATGGTATGCATATTCATAGATTTTAGTGGAAAAAAAAGGTTTCTTTGATTTCATCGTAGTTTTCTTTTCAATATAAAACACAAATAGCATATAAAGTCACAGAAATTAATCACTAAATATGTGTTAAAATAGTCTTTTGTTATAAAATAATTAATTTTGTTCTATAATAAATAATATTTGAGTTACATTCAATTGAAGGTTAATGAAAACAAATTACAAGAATGTGATAAGATTGTCAATGAAAAAAAAAAAATTATTGATGTGTAACGATACATTATTTCGACGTTTTTTTATTTCTTCACTTTCATCATCATATCTATCAATCATTAGTGACAAAAAAATTGAACGAGGTATATCATTATATACCATCAAATAAATTTGTTTTTTTTTTCTTGTCATAAAATAACAATAATCATAAAAATCAAATGTCAATAGAATTTTAACTATATGTATATAACAAAAAAAAAAGAAAAAGAAAAGAAGAATAGAAAGGATTTATTAATTAGAATATGATAATCAAAGAAAACAAAAAACTTATGTGAATGTATATAATTTGGCTCTTTAAATAATTTGAAATATACAAAACAATAATAATTAATAAACCATTATCGAGAATATGAAGATAAACAATATTCCATAATAAATTCACAACAAAACAAAAAAAAAAATTTTTTTTTGTTTTTAAGAATTATCTAATGATGATCTACTATCGGAAAGAAGTCGTTGTGTATCATTAACAAATCGTTGTGAACTATGCCAAAAACCATAGAAACCATAAATGAGAAAACCTAATCAAAGAAGATATAGTTTATCATTTCGAAAGAAATCTATTATTGAACAACATACCAAGAAACATCCATACACCAAATCGAATCCATGTTGCTGGTGATAATTTGAGAATTAAATATGTATTAATTAATATACTCAATATAGGTACGTAAGGTATACATGGAGTCTATTAAAAAAAAAATCAATCAATTATAGAAATAAATTTAATTGTATAACTAACTTCAAAATAAAGTGATTTTGCATTTTTTGGTTGTCGTGCAATTGCAACAATAAAAAAGATTTCTGTTAGAAGAAAAATTATAAGAAAAATTATTGCTATTGGATCTTTTTCTTCAAGACGATGTTGAGCAAATATTTGTATAGCAGAAAGAATAAAACCATTAATAACTATAATTATTATAAAAACAAAAATAAATAAATAAATAAACAAAATTTCTAAATATTTACTTAAACAAGTAATAAGATATTTAGTTAATCTTGCTGATACAATCGTTGGATGTAATCGAAATGGTTTAAATAATTGTGTATAAATTGATTGTACAGCTCGTTCATCATTATTTACTAATTGATTCTCATTAAGTTGATAACTATAAAAACAAAAATTCTTTTTACTGATAAAGGGAAATAGTCAATAATTATTGAATTTGATTCCCTCTTTTCTTCTATGTCAAACTATCATACCAGATGTCCGAAATTGATCTCTAGTAGAATTAGTCATCTAGCACTTATTTATTCTGTGCATGAATCAATTGAAATAGCCAATAGTCATCGCATATACATCGGCTCGTGATATCTATTTATCTCACTAGTGACTCTCTCAAGAATAATCTCCATGAGATTTCTTTGTAAAGCCCGTATGTTTTTCCTCGATATGATAGATTAACATAGAAGAAAAGAGGAAGTTAATTTCAACAGTTATCGTTTCCCTTTTTCCATTTACCGTAAAAATAAAACAGATACTGATACAAGTGAATAAGCAAGTAATGTTCCAATTGACATCATTTCAACTAATTTTTTTAAATCAAATAGTAATGCCATGATTGCTAGAAACGAAAAAAAAAACAATATAAATATTAAAATAATTGATTTTTGTTTTGTTTTACTATACATGCTACAATACCACCAAGAACTGTTGCTACCATTGGTGTTTGTAACCGTGGATGTATCCAAGCTATAAAACGAAATATTAATCCATCACTAGCTATTGCATATAATACACGTGGTAAAGGTAAAAGAGAACCAAGTAATGCCGTAAAAATACCTATAGCAAATTTATAATAATTTACACAAAAAAAATATGATATTGAACAGTAGCGTAGCCAGGAATTTTTGAATAGTAGGTAATTTTTCAGTCAAGCTGTTCATTACTTTAGAGCCTAGTAGTTCCGAAAAAATCGAACCGGAAGGTGTGAGTGTAGATAATACGTACATCCACATCTATCGGTTGCAGTTCTGGATATTTCTTGGAACGGCTGGCCTCTAGATCAATTACTATTGAAACGCTGTGTAATTGTCACTAGTATAAGAAATTTGGGAGCAATAGCTCATGACTGGCTACGCTACTGATATTGAAAACATATCAAACAAACCAGCTAATGCACCAACACCGATTATATATTTAAAGGTTGGTAAATGAACATATTGAAAAGCTTCAGGTAGAACAGCATCAGGATTGATTAGATAATATGGAACCTAAATAAAGAATAAATTCTAAGAAGAATTTCAAAAAAACAATTGAGTAAGTGAAAAGATCTAAAAACTCCAATAAGACTGCTTGGATGAGAATGTCTGGAAACTCCACTATAGTTGTCGGAAATTATTTGATTTCATGAAACGAACAAAAATCTAACAGAATGTCAGGCCTTATGAGTCTATTTGCTTATCCCTATAAGTTCATTTTCGAAGTTCACAAAAATTAGTTGAGTCAATTGTTTTATCGAGTGGGCACTTCTTTATAAAATATTATATTAGACTAAACTGTAACTTTCACCTCAATGAAACCATAGATACTTTACTAAGAGCTTCTCTCTATACAAAATGTCTTTGGGTCAAAAGTTGAAGTGATCTGTAGGCTAGCTTCTGCTCTATAATCTGATAAATTAATAAAGATTTCAATTTTTTCA